TGGGACAATGAAGAGTTATCTGCAACACAGATCCGTTATGCAGCACTTGATGTTTATGCGTGCTCTCGCATATACGACTTCCTCTCTATGATCCCCATCCCTGCTCTCCTCCCAAAATCTGTTCAAGTTGGGACCCCGGTTCTCATTTTCAATGATGATCGCACACGTCTAATTGCTCGAGGTGCGGTGGAGGGCTTGACCGGTTCGTTCAATACCGGGAATGTGCGCCGAGATGGTACAACAGAGATCATTAATATCTCTGCGACACGATGCCTTGTGCAGATTTCAGAAATTGTTGTGCCTGCAGCTATCCTGAAAACTCACAAGAAAACATTATCTGCCTTCGGTCCAGTCCCATTTAGTGCTGTCTGCCTTCGGAGCCATCTGCGTCTCGCTTCATCAATCCCTCTGCCATCAATTCAGCCTCCTGTGATCCCGCCTCCCGCAACTGAACAATCTGAAACCTTGAATCTTGTACCACCTGAGGCAAGGTCTAGTTCACCATCTGACCTGCCCACATCGTCTCCAGAGCTTTTCAATCTTGATCTTTCTGATCCATCTGGATTTGGCGCGCTACTTCTCGAAGAAATTGATTCCACACCTCCGCATGACAAAACTGTTATTCAAAACCGAGAATCGGATCCCGAAAGCCAACAGCGTGGGGAAGAAACTCTGGCACTAGCAGCCATTCAGGCCGTCGTTTGGTTCACGTGGATCCGGAGCCGAGTGCTCAAAGATGCATTCCACATCTTCAATATGTTCTATATCTCTGTGGCTCACGGATTGCGTGTCGAATTTGCTAGGGCACTTAGAGATGCGATCGATATTCATCCCGGATCGTGAGGACAAGGCCCGAATAATTGCTTGGGGTAAGCAACAAGATCCGCCACAATCATGGGATGATTTGTTGCGCAAAAATTCAGATTGGGTTTGGCGTCGTTGCAAGCGTATAATTCCCCCACCCGAGCAACTTCACGGGGATGTTTCAGAGGTCTTTCGTACTTTCGGCCCACTTAAAGATGCCACCACCGGTCTGCCACTTTTCAACGCAGCAGCATGGGCCGTTGCAAAGAATGTTCTGGAGCTAATCAGTAAAGGTTATCTGTCGGACCCTCCGGGAATTGCCCTCTATTCTCAGCTAGGAATTGACCCGAAAAGGGGTTTACTTATATACAGATGCAAACGGGGCACGAATTGGACGGAAGGTGGGGTTCACACTCATCTACAGTCTCGTCTTCCGACTTCTGGTGCGTCGGTTAGACATGTCAATGCGTGCCTGAAAGATTTTATTGCACGACACAACCTCCTTGTATGTCTATTGCTTTTTTTTTGATAACATTATACTTACTGTAATATTGCAGGTCGGCACATTTAATTCGACAGGAAAACGCTACACGGGCCATTATAGCCTCTGGCTTACAAACGAGTTGCAAGAACTGCTCTCTTCACTTGAAGATTGTCTTATCGATCCCATCCTGCTAACAGGTTGGGTCAATGGGAATCTTTATGAACAGACTGAAGAGGTCGCGGGTGTACTTCCCATCCCACCAGATGTCCGTGTCAAATCTGGCATGGACCAATTTGAAGCATCGTTGCACTCAAAACAACGCCACCGCTATCTCGCAGCTCTTCAGGGTACCAAAAAACCGGTTCTTCCAATTCACAGTAGTGACAGTACAGCAGAAAAGATTTTATTCCGTGACTTAATGGCCAAGAACCCAGCAAACTTCTCATCGCCAGGCAACATTGACAATTTTGTACGTTTGTGGAACTCACATGCAGATCAGCAGAAGGACATATCTTACAAGGTGAGCTCACCAAACTGATTGTTTATCAAGAGATTAAACCTTTTCAGTTGTCTGAACAACTTAAAGTTTATTTCAACGGTGACTGGAAGACAAACTCGAATATAAAACAGACGAAAATTATGACTGCGGCTGCACGCTAGTGCTGTGTAAGAAAGTCCATGTTAAATAACAGTACCTTTCTAACCTGTTATTAACACGTTAATAACATTTCTCACATGGGAGGCTCTGGGATGCCTGTAATTAATATGTGAGAAACACCTACACTGTAAGGCTGCTTGGTAAGCAGTTTGGGACTCAGAGCCAAAGTAGAAAATGCTGGAAAATGTGTTGGAGCCTAGGTTGAAGTCAGTGGGTTGCAGTTCTGCAGCATATATAATGTTTACCCATTTTTCGGCCCAGGAGCCTCAGAAACAGTGCGAAAAAATGCCTATAAGCATGATTATGTCATGTTAAAAACCTTGTAATTTACATACCCTTGTTATCTAACGACGGCCTGGTTTGAATCTAACATTACTCACACCGCCGGATTTGATTCTTACACAGCGCTACTGCACGCGCTCCCCTGAATGCCCGACTGCACGCGCCCGCACGAGCTCTTGCAGCACCGAATGTCCCAGAAGTTCCCCTTGCACTGCATAGTGTTTCCCGCGGCACCTTACCCCTCTTTGATGAACCTCCAGCTGATTCAGATGTGCCAGATTCTCTGAATAATTCACCATTGCAAATTTCATACTCAGGGCTCTCATCCGGTACATCTGCCCCATCTGTGATCGCATCCACCCAATTTGCTGCAGGCACAAGTTCCTCCGGTTTTGCCCCGACTGCAGCACCACAGCGGACAATACTCCAGCAGCTAGCAAAGAAGCATGTGCTAGATGGGTTACCTCCGAAGCCAGAGCCGAAACGAAGGAAAACTCGGACTTGCCGAAAGTGTGGAATCCCTTTGTGCAAAGGGAAAAGGGGGTGGACAGATTGTACAAATAAGTGCCGAGACTGCGGGAAGAGTGGGAGTGATAAAAGTTGCAAAGGAAGAAACCCAGACAAGCCGCTCCTCAAGTGTATGGACGTCGAGTGGTAACATAAATAACTGATTGATTGCTATGCATTTTACTACTATTGTGCCTAACGGGTCTGAATTTGCACATTGGGTCTGAAGTTCAGGTGTTTCTTTGCTCTTCCCTGCCCCTTTGCCCCCTGAGTTCTCTGGATTGTTCCCTATACTACTTATCTGTAGATCTAATAACTACAAGATTAGCGATTGGGAAGATATCGAGAAAGAGTTTAAGTTGTTAGTGCGTCAAATTCAGTGATCTTCGGGAAGTCTTTCATGTTGTAACCTCGCACCTCATTCCCAACTTCTGGTAAAATCTGAGGGGCCTTCTGTATTTTATATGGAAGGCTTTCTGGACCTTCATATTATTTTTCGGGGTCACCGTTGAGGTGCTTTGAGCGTAGGCGCGTCCGGTCACCCGATGTCACAGTAAATGATTGTGTCACGCTTTTGCTCTCTCCGCACAAGAACGCCGCAACACAAGGCTGAAAAAATGATTTTAGCATGTATAAAGCTTTCCAGCTCATACAAAAACGACCTCAATTTTTTCTAGAGCCTCAGGGCCAGTGACCAGCACAGAACAAGAGAATCTTTCCTAACTCGTCAAATTTTGATGGACCGGCAACTGTTTCTCAATACCTTCCCGATCACGACTCACATAATTATTGTGTAGATCTATGTGCAAGTAGTATAGGAAACGATCCCGGAGAACTCCGGGAGCAAAGAGCAAGGAAGAGAAAAGAAAAACCCGAAATTCAGGCCTAAGTGCAAATTCAGACACAATAGTATGTGGTACTTACATGGAAGATCAACCGACAGACAGAGGATGCACACAGTCACAAAAGGTACATGACATGCCCCGCATGCTTTGTTGCCAGCGCGGAGCACGCATACATCATCCAGAGGAACGTCACAAGGATCTCTCCGAAATCGGATTTATTCGGGCATCACCAAATCAAACTCAGTCGGTATCTTGCCGAAGATTCAGAAAAGTCGAATAAAAACTTACCTCTCGATAGGTACCGAATCAAAAAAGTTTCAAGCCTTTTATGCCTCAGGAGAGTCTCCCCAAATATTTTCGAGAATATAGGAGACCAGGTGAGAAGCCAATAAACTATCTTCGCTATCGGGTGGCGGTACTCAGTGGTCATGTGCTGATGTCTCGGAAGCTCTCGACAAATAAAGGTATATTTTATTATCTTTATTTCTTTATTTGATTATTTTCACCCACCCACACCGGTATCGAGCCTGGATTCCGAGCTCGCCAACACACGGCGAATTCCGAGTCCCGTGTTTGTCCCGTGATTATATCAGGTGACTTTTTATGTGGCAGTGTTCGTTGTCTCTTAATATATAGGACTAGCTCAAGCCCGTGAATAAATTCACGGGCTTTGGTAAGTTGAAAGAAATTTATTGAGTTGGTTTTCAGTCATTTCATGCTCTTAGACCTTTTTTCCCCTTGACTTACCCCTTTGCTCCTCCTCAACTCCTCCTCCCTGTCTTTGAGCTCTTGCCACTGGCATGAGCCTGTCCCATCCCCATGAATAAATTTACGGGCATGGGCAAGTTGAACTAAGTAAGTTATTAGAGGACTGCTCTCAGGCTGCAAACAACATTTTTGTCTCGGAGGTCTCTTCTTTTCAGCATTACCTTTCCTCTGGTCCTGACCCTTGCCATTGCTATAGGCATGCCCAGTGACTCCTCACCACTGCTTTTCGGCAAGTTCAAGCATCAGCATTGATACCCATCACCACATTTGCGGCTTCTTTGGGCCCGGCTCGGCCCAGCCGCGGCATGCTTCCACTGCCGGGGCTCTTCTCGCATCAGCAAACCCTGGGTGTGCTACCTAGGTCTACATAGTTCCCATAGTTGCCATAGCTCCTGTATTTACCATAGGAAGGGTACCCTCTACATAGTTCTCCATAGTTTGGTGGGAGTGCTACATAGTTCTCCATAGTTTTCAGCAGTACTACATAGTTCTGTGTAGTTTGGTGGTTTGCGAAGCTTTGAACAAAACATGACTAGCAAATAAACTGTGGCCTCTTCCATTTCATTGGACTGATGATGATAAGTACTATTATCCTAATCCTAGGAAAGGCATCTAAGGTAGATACAACTATTAGAGAAGCTTGCAAATAAAGTGACTCCTGCGGGAGTCGAACCGGCGACCACCGGGACATAATGTAAGAGTGCAGCATAACCACTGAGCCACACAACCATTAAAGCACCTTGTAGGCTATTCAATATAAGGGGTCACCTCCCTCTCAAAAACAACTGTCTGCTCCCTGATACAACTTCGGTAACATCGTCATATAGATAGTGATAAATTCCAAACTAAAGTACCAAAACTCACAAAGCTCCACAAAGTCATCTAGGAATTTCCCTCTAAAGCCTTTGCTTTATTCAGCTGTAAAACACAAAATAAATTCATAGAGCTATTCTGAACACCATAGAGACAGATGAGCTGGACTATGAATATTTTTGTGAAGAATCTTGGTTATGTAAATAGTTTATCAAAGAGCTCTTCTTTGCTCTATCTCAATGAAGTACTGTGGCTTTTTGAAATCTAATTGTGTATCTGAAATGCCTTGTGGCTCAGGTGCCTACAGGAATTGAAAAACTATGTGAAACTTCAAAAAACTATGTGAAACTATGCAGCTTGGTGGCAAAACTATGTACAACTATGCAGCTTGGCTGCAAAACTATGTACAACTATGTAGCTTTGACTGGAACTACAGAGTCCTATGGCAACTATAGCAACTACAGCCAACTATGGCCAACTATGGTCAAATCCAGGGTTTGCTGATGCGGCTCGGCGCGTTCTCGGTCATGGCTCGGCAATGAGCATGACCGTGGGCGTGGGATTTCGAATCTTCTTTGATGTTCGTTATACCCCCCCCTCATATTATAATAAAGAAGATATATAGGATCAGAAAGGCCCAGGGACCACCAACGTGCACGTGACTCATGTCAACAGTGACAAACATTGCTAACTTCGAGAGGCAATTGCGAGCCCAAACCCCTATCAATTTGGGTGAACTAAAATGTGAGGAAGGTTCATTTTCTGAGTACTTTCATGCTATATATATGGTTTTCACATGTATGATGAAACTAGAAAGTTGATTTTTCAGAAAACCCCGAATTATTTTATTGTGAGAGAATGGTGGGGGTGTGATATGGATTAAACTATTCAAATCCTCTTGAAATCACTCAAGGTTGGTGTCTACATTTTATTTGAAGTCATTCGGCCCATAAATGAGCCCAAACGACCGCGTGCAGAACATTATAGCGCCACTGTAGGGCGCGGCCCAAAATTTTCCCATTTTGGGACATTTTTTATCTTTTCGACCATTTCCCTCGCCGCGAGCTCAGTTCTGAATGTATTGTTCTAAAATATATATGAGCGGAACCGCAACGAAATTCTGGAGGTCCTATCGAGCTTCAATTTTTTTTATTCGGCTTATATAAAATGTACAATGATATAATCATGTTTATATGGAAATCTCCTCCCACAGGGGGAGTTGGCAATATATTATCTTGGGGTCTCATTAGGGCATATCTACACTTATTTCGGATGTCGCATCGTCCCCGGATTTGGTCTGTGGGTCTTATACCACGTGCACGATGTAATTGAATTCAATAAAAACACCCACTTGTCGGACACAATGCTCTGGCATAATCTGGTCCCAGGGGAACGTGATACTCGTTGTGTACTCGTCATGTGGTAATTAAAAGAGACTCCACAACTCACATTGGTCATCCAAGTCCCCGTCCCCGTAGGCGACGCGTTTCGATCTGCCTGTGTTTCTGTTCACAGCTACATTTCTTTGATCTAGGCATGCACCACGCGACAGGCTACCAGGGGTATGTGCCCGCACAGCAGCCATTTTTAAATGCCGGCTAATAATGCATAGGTTCAAGAGCCAGATCTCAGGCATAAAAAATAGTGTGTCGGTACCTAGAAGTGAATGGTACATACACTGCAAGTGATGGGCTGCAGGCCTGCAAAATATCCTGCCAGCGGCCCAAAAACCATTTTTCGCCGCAGCCAGTGAGCAGCCGTCAAAATGGGCTACTAGGCATCCTAGAATCCAATCTTTTGGCCCGCGCTACGTGTGGGTATCATGCTAGGCTATGGAGGAGGCATTGAGCTGGTGGGCCTGCAAAACGGGCTGCCGGTGGCCCCAAAAGTCCATTTTTCACCGTGGCCAGCGAGCAGCTGTCAAAATGGCCTGCCGCGCCCCCTAGAATTCAATTTTCGGCCCGCGCTACGCGCGGGTATCATGCCTGGCCTATGGAGGAGGAAATGTACTGTTGGGCCGGCAAAATGGGCCGCCGGTAGCCCCAAAATCCATTTTTCGGCCGCGCTACGCATGGGCACGGGAGCCCCCATGGAAATCCGTGGCTGGACACTCCCAGCCCAAGGTGGGTGAGAGATCCCAGCACCCTGGGAGTCACCATATACCTGGGACCCCTTTGGGGTAGTTTTTTTTTTTTTTTTTTTTTTTGAATCTTTGTTTTATATCCTCTGTGTCTAAGACATATGGTAGATATAAATCTGGCTAGTGTATCGTAGGGTATCGTATCGGGTCCATAAAATGGTGGCAGTAAAAATCGTTCATACTCGAAAACTTAGCAAAACCGTGACAGGACGGCTGCAAAGCGGGAAATCCGCGAGGTATAGGGGTATGTGGCCAAAGCCTCTAGAGGGAACTAGATGTCGTGATGTTAAATAGTAAGATATACGTAGGAGAGAGAGAGAAAAAGAGTCTAAAAAGAAATCTACTCGGGGCGGTCTAGCGGCTTGAAGTCTCCGAAGACAGAATGGAATCGGCCTGTGCGCTGGATGTACGCGAAGAGATCGGGCAGTATCTTGGGATCGGAAAGCAGGTGCTTGGAGTAGCGGGCGAGGCGGTTGGTGGCGTGTAGTGCACGTCTAGCTTGTTCGTGTGCTGGGCAGAAATGAAGGAAATGGTCGACGGTTTCGTCAACCATGCCGCAGCACGGGCAGGTGGGGGTCGGGGACTTCTTCAGGCGGAATAAATGGCGGGCGAGGGGAACATGGCGAGAGCGAAGCTGGAAGAGAAGGGAGGCATGCTTGCGAGGAAGAGAAGAGGAGAGTTTGCGAAATTTTGCCGAGGGAGCCGATTCGTCCACATCTTTGATGCGGGCGTACTGGGCCGACCTCTTGAATTGCTTCTTCGCGATCTTCTGCAGCAGTCTCGTGTGGGTGAGAGCCAGCGCCGACTTGCTGAAGGGCAGGTTCTTCAAGACCTTGGGAGGCCTTCCGAAAGTGCCCGACTGCGCAGCACGCTTTGCTGCCTCATCGGCTGCCTCGTTCCCAGGAATGTCGACATGGCCCGGAGTCCAGTCAATGCGCAAACGAAATTCGCGATGCTCACGTCGCGCCTTCCCCAGCTGTCTGTGGAAAATGTCCCAGATATGTCGCCCGACACCTGGCTTGGCACTGCTAGTGGCCTTGATCGCGGATGTGTTGTCCAAGCCCAGAGGTAAGATCCCAGTCACCTGCTCGTCAGTCTCTTCTCTGAAGCACTCCAGCGCCAGTACCTCCCCCACTCCTTCAGCTTCATAGACCCCATACCGCCTCGCCGAACCCAGCCGCACCCCCTTCACCCTCTTCACCACTCCATCCACACACAAAACCCCCGCCGCGCCAACCATCCCATCGATAAGCGAGCCATCCGAAAACAGCGTCACTCTCGCGGATTCCCCGAGCGCCCACTCTTTGGCCTCCTCCTTGGAGGCAGCCACGCGCACATCCACCGGCGCCACCCATTCCGCCCGCCGTCGTACTGCCGGTATCTTTTCCACCGTCGCCTGCGAAACATCCATGTAGGAATTCATGAGGAAATGGAGCGGGGAAGGGTGCTTCTTTACGTGTCCTCGCCGCTCGACATCCCTTATCTCCGCATAAAGGGGGTGCGTCGCTGGAAGAGTCGCATATCGTAGCGCGGCTTTCTGGAGATGTTTATCGATGGCGAGGTGTATAGGAGGGAGATCGGCGTGTGCGTCAAGCAGATCCCCCGGCGAGGAGAACATACCCCCCACCATGAGCCTGGCTGCACGTAGCTGGATTGACCCGAGTTTCTTCACCAGAGTGCGTGTGTCTTTCTTCCGGTTTGCTCCTCGGATGCGCTGACGAGTTGGCGCTAGAAAAATCTCCGCACCATACAGCATGCGGGGGACACAGATGGCCAGGTAAAGCCGCCGCACGTATGCCGCTCCCATCCCCCCGGAGACGCGCGCAAGACGTCGAAACTTCACCAACCACTCATGCCCCTTCGCCAAAACCGCCGCTCCCTGGTCCCGGAAAGTCAAGCCCTCGTCTAGCCAGATGCCCACCAGCTTCACAGCCTTGGAGGGCTTCACCACCACCCCGTCAATGACGAGGTTCGGGCGTCTCTCCGGAACCCACTTGCTTCGCTGGCCAAAAGGCTGCGCCTCCTTCCGTTTGCGCGTCGAGAAATGGCACACCTGATCCTTTGCCGCGCCGAACACACTGTTGTGCGTCACCCCCCACTCGTTCACTCCTCCCTGCCTCGTCACCGCGTCCACGATCGCTCGGCTCGTCTCGCTCAAAGTGTCCCCTATGGCCAGCATGTGGAAGTCGTCGATGTAGATGCCAGAGTTCGGTTCAATGCGAGCCAGCGGAGAGTTGTAGAAAAGATAGCAGATGACAGAGTGCGGGTCACCCTGATCCAGTCCGTCCACAATGTCGAAGGGTTCAGAGGCATAGTCGTCGAAGAGCAGCCGTGTGGTCCTCCCCGTGAACCTGCGCAACATCCAGTCAGTGTGCTCACGAGGGACCCCCGCCATCCTCATGTTGTGCACGACTCGCGATAGCATCGCACTCGGGAACGCCCCTTTCACATCACGCAACAGCAACGTCGCCACCTTCCCATTCCTCCACGCATGCTTCACTTTCTTCACCAACCCCTGCACCATGTCCACTCCTGTCCTCCCCGGCCTCCCCCCATAATGATTCGACGGCAGCATCCCGAAAAATTCCGCATTCGTCGCGACTTGGAGTGTCTTCCCTGCATTCCGTAGGCGTGCATGGCCGTGCGACAGGATTATCGGTCTGTGAGCGTTGACCAAGGAGTAGTCGGGCTTGCCCGGCTTCCGGGCGACGATGGTCTCGGTGCGCTGCCAGTCCGGGGGCTCGTGCTGATAGACATCCAGAGCGCGGAAGATCTT